AAATTTCGTTGTTTAATTTGTTTGATTAACAAAGATATTTTATCGCGGTAAACACAAAGGCGTCAAATGCACTTGCTTGGTGGAATGGGGCGTGGCGGTGCGGGGCGCTGTTTTGTCGGCAAAAGCAAGGGGCGAGGAGGCATGTTTTTTCGGCTCATTTGCTGCGGAGTCATGGCTATAAAAAGGCGACAGAAGAAACGAGAGGCAAACAGACGACAAGCCAATCAAGCGAAGCGACGGCAAAATGTTGAGTATCCAAATTATATAGTCTTATATGTATGTATATGGAGAAATATACATATATCTGTATACCTGCGAGGGTGGACTGAGGAGTGTTAGCTCGCAAAGAGCCAAAGAAACAAAGCGGTAGGTGCTTAAAATAAGTAAATGAAAAAGTAATAATAAAATAAAAAAAAATAAATGAAATGAATTTATAAAAAAAAATAAAAATTTTAGTTAGTGATTTTGGATGATATCGTTTGTTTTGTTTTAATATGAGATCAAATTTATTGAAGTCTGGAAAATAATAAAATAAAGATTTATGCATATATCCCATTCATTTAAAAGTTTTTATATATTTTTTTCTATTAATGTACATTTATTAAACAATTTGTTTAATGTATTTATATATAAACAAAATTTTTTACGGTAAATTCTTGATATATGAAAAAGAATAATTGCTTTTAATTTGTGTAGATGTTAACAGCTGTACAAAAAAAAAAAATGGAACAAAATACAATTTTTCAAGATTAATTGTTTACTTTTTTATTATAATATAACAATAAATTTAAAAAAAAACGTATTTACAGCCCTCGCATATATGTATGTATATCATTATATGTATATATCGTGTATCGAGTGCTGTTGCCGTTACTTTGGCTATATCAATCCATTCTCGCCCGATCTGCTTTATGGCGCTTTCTTTATGGTTTTATTAACATAATTGCATTTTAAAAAGTTCGATTTTTTCGAGTCTTTTTTGTTGTGCATTGTTTACGATCATATTCTAATTTACGAGCTACAGTAGTGACTCACTCTCATGGATGGTCAAAAGACAAGGTAGAAAAGAGAGGGGTATCTAAAAATAATAAAAAAAAAAATGAACAGATTGTGCCCCGTCTAATGACTTCCAGGTACGCATGATTGCCGGCCCATATTACATGACTTGGCCGGCAAGGTAAAAAGTAAGATGGCCTAAAGGAATTTCTCTAGAATTTTAGATGAACTGCCAAAAAAAGTGGGCTGCGGGCAAACTAATTGTAGTGCGAACTTTATGATACCCGCTAATACATGTACGCCTTGTTTGTTGTCCTCGAACCCTGTTTTTGCCTGTTTGGCTCATAAAACTTCAATTGTTTGTTTGTTTGTGTTTGTCGTTAAGGGGTTTTTTGTTTGCTCAACACCAATGGCTATTTAAATATGTCCAGCCAGCGAGGCCAACGGCTGCTGCATGCTGCTGCTCTAGCAATTTGGTCTGGTCGGTTTGTGTAAAAGGTTTCCATTGTCTCACCTGAATGCATTTCTAATTATTCGCGCTCACTGTGCAAGCGCGAGCCTCTCTCTCGAAATAGTTCCATAGCCTCCTAAACGATCAATGAATTCCGCCTTTTTACGCTAATCCTCTAGAGAATTCTGGGTACTTTTAGGCGGATTACTCAATCGCACGGACAAAACAAATGGCAAAGGTAAAGGCAACAATTTTCCGTTACTTTTTGTTGTGGCTGCCCAGCAACAGTTAAAATTGACAACTTTTTGTCTTGTTTAGGATTACTTCACTACTTTTGTACATTATTGTTCATCATTTGCATTCAACAAATATTTTATTTTCAAAAACAATTTCATAAACAATGTTTTTTAACCCGAGAGACGTTCTGCGTTTTTCCGACTTCAATGTTATTTGACTAATTTATAGTTCCAGGAAACTTAACCTATTTTGTCTATTAAAAATGGCTTTTAAGATTCTCGACACACAGAGAAAAAAAATGTAGAAAAACATGGGCATAAATTAATTTACAATGAAAATTTTCTGTTTTACATGACGTCTTAGAACATATTGTATATTCAATTCAATTCAATTCACTATATGCTTTATTTCCAAATTATTACATATTGCTTGAATCTAGCTTAATTTTCTTTATACAGAGGTTAGGCCTATTTGATATATAATAATAATATTGTTTGACAATAAACAATTTGTAAGCTTTTCAGCAGTGATGGAATAAAAAGCTGTCTTATCCATCAAAAAAGATTTTCTAAATTAACAGATCCGTGAAAACGAAATAGAAAACATTAGAAATAAAAGTATATAAAAGTAGATTTCTTACATCAAAATTTTATATTGTATATTTACTATTCCTGTGCTTTCCTTGTCATCTTTTTTCCTCTTTCTTAAAGGAATACAATATAATAGTCTCATTAAATAAAACAATTGAAATTGCTTTGTGCTTATCAAAAACAATTTGTACTCTAAATTTATAGCTCAAATTAAACTATATTGATGGTGTTATACCACTTATGATGCAATTAGCGTGATATTTATAAGTAAAGTATCAATTGCAGAGTAAACATAAACACACATTCACACACACACTGAAGTAAAAAATCTAAACATTAAAATGTTGATTGAGACTAGGAAGAAAACGCCAAAGGCTGAATGAATGATATGCACATATACATTCAAATATCTATTGATATATATTGGCTATAATAAATGAAATCCGTAGTTATGGCACTACAAAACATGGATTTTACAGCCACTAATTGCATAATGCACACACAGTCGCTTGAAATTACTTAATTAGGGACACAGCCAACGGCAATATTAGTTTATAGTACAAATCGAAGCAGTTGTAAAGGAAAAAGGGGTCTTTTCTTTGGTCTATACGCCCACCGTCTTGTTACCTGGTTCAGATATTTGTGTGAGTGTGTGGGCGGAGCCTATGCGGCCAGCCATGACGTATGAGCGCAAGCGAGAGGGTTGCTCGCTGGCTAGTTAGAGTGAGCTGCAACGCAACAACATAAGCCATCTTGAATTTCAAACACGCAACGGAAATGAGGGTTAAAAAACAGCCCACTCAAGCCGGCGGACGGCTGTGCGAGCGAGATGACTAGCTCACATATGGCAGTTGCGCGCTGCTGCGATTCCCTTTTCGTTTCTTGGTTTGTTTTTATCTGTAATCGCGTTCGTTGCTTTCAGTACGTATTCGACTGCGGTTAACGTCGCAACAGGCCAAACGCAACGGCAGTTGAGAAAGAAAACGTAGTAGAAATTGTATAAACAGTAAATTACGCGTACTATTGAAGCGATATTTAGATAGCAAAAAAGTAAAGAGTTAATCGATAGATCGGATCTATACCAATACTGAGAAAGAAACTCCTAAAACGTGAATGCGTGTATGCAAAAAAGCGCACAAAAAGGAAGCGCAAAGAGGTTTTAAATAAGCAAATCTTGTACAAACGATCACAAAATGTGCTTATAAAACAGAGATAATAAAAAGTGCTAGGAAGACATAGCAGGCAAAAGTAATCAAAAATCAATTATATTTCGTAAACAAATATTAAATTCGCCAACAACAAACCGCCTACGCGCCCTAACCTTAAAATGGTTTCACACTATTACAATTCGCTGCCCTATTCGCAAAAGCATAACGCCAACCTGGCCTACGCCACAGCGGCTGCAGCAGGCCAGCCCTGGAATTGGACCACCAACTATCATACGCCGCCCAATCATCAGTTTCTCGGTGAAGTGGATTCGCCACATGCCGCTCATCATGCCGCTCATCAAATGTACTACAATCCGCATATGTTTCACTCGGCGGCGGCTGCGGCGAGCGAATGGCATTCGCCGGCCTCCAATTCAACGACAGCGACGGGTGAGAATTTCGCCCAAAATGTCGCTCATCCGTTGATGCAGCAGCATCATCCGCATATTAACAGTGGATTGCCCAGCGGCGGCTCTAGCAGCTCTGCCAGTTCGGGGAGCAGCAGCTCTGCTCCCGCTGCTGGCGTCACGCAGTTGAACGAGCCCAACGATGCGGTTGTCCATGCTCAACAGCAGCAGCAGCAACAACAGCAGCAGCAGCAACAACAACAACATCAACATATTGCCGAGGGATTGCCATCGCCGCCGATCACTGTTTCGGGCAGCGAAATATCGAGTCCAGGTGCTCCCACCTCTGCCTCGTCGCCGCATCATTTAGCCCATCATTTAAACAGCAGCAACAACAACAACAGCCCCTCGACGCATAACAACAATAACGTGACGGCCAGCAACAGCAACCATCGCACATCGCCAGCAAAGACGCAATATTACGAATGGATGAAGAAGCCATCATATCCATCGCAGCCCCAGCCTGGTAAGCTCACAACATACCTATAAATATAGTATACTAAGGTTTAGCGTGCATTGTCACTTTTATTTATTTCAAAGTAAATTATAAATAAAATGGTTATATTAAGTTATTTCTCTCAAATTTGCTCAAATTACAAACATTTGGTCTGCAGTGTGCTTAAGAGTTGAGAGGAAAATTAACGGCAGTTAAAGCTCGCTCTCATAGTTAGATCATAATTACCTAATGCTCACTCCTTTTTGAGTACATTCGTATTGGTGTTTGCCTTGTTTTTGAATTCGAATTCGTAGTTAGTCATCAGTTTCTGGGTTTCTCCCGCATCCGTAACGAAAGATTGCCAACACAGTTCCCGCTCATTGTCTTCCAGACAGCTTTTGGGTTAAAGCTCGTGCTGTTCGCGCTTTTAAATTAAAGAGTGTGAGAAGGAAGGAGAGAGGGAGAGAGAGAGAGAGACAGAAGAAGAAAACATAATTTTATAACGAACCGTAAGCAATTTGCTTGCATTTGAGTGCGCCTCCAAGGGCCATTAGCTCATAAAAATCAAATGTTTGTCTTCATTTTACGGCGCACACCGCCTTGATTTATGTGCCCCAGGCTCAGCGGCCGCAGCCTGAAAAAGAGGAAAACTTGTCGACTCTGTTGACTAATTTTGTGTCGTAAATCAATTTAACTATAAAAGATACAACATTCAATGGGTTTCGATCAATTCTCCAGTTTCTAATGAGAAATGCAAATAGACCTGACAGAGCAACTGCTCTCACAGCAATTAGCAGCATGAAAAGTGTTTCAAATGGCTCTGAAATAGAATGGAACTTTTTAACAGCAGATGTTGAAAAAAGCTTTCAATACGACTCTAGTCTTTCACTCACATTTCGCATTGCGGAGGCACATTGTGCAATGCTCTTTGATTAAGTGAGAAAAGCTCAAGGCTTTAGCCGTCCTCCTCTGCCATTGCTTCGTGGCATCTTTTGTGCTCTTCGCCATTCCTAAACTTTTGTTTTGTTTCGAGCATATTTTCGTCGTTTTATGTTTTGCATAACAGCAGCCAACAACACAACATTTAACATTTACAGCAATGCAAATGCAAATACCAATGCATACACACACAAGCATGCTTGCAGTCAGACACTCACGCATATACGCACACAATTTTACAGACCCACAAGCAAACACACTCATGCCAAAACACGTGCGCAAGCGCTTACGATTTATGACCACTGCGTTTCAAAAGTTGACGACGTTCGATATCGACGATATCCATTAAGCCCATAAAATCGGTTGGTATGCAATTAACGTTTATTGGTGCCCGGCGGCCCGTTGTTGTTTGTAATCCTTTAACGGGTCAAGATGACAAATTAAGATTATGCATTTTTATTTATTATTCATATAAATAATAAACAATACGTAAAATTGTTGCAGCTAAGCGCCATGCAGGGCAAAATGATACCCTGTCTTTTTGTCTGCATATGGGGTATACGTGACTTTGTACACTTGATTATTGGGTGTGGCAATAAAGTTCTTCTTCAGCAATTGCGGCTGTTGTTGTTGTTGGCATAGGTGTTGGTGTTGGTGTTGGTTGTACTTTTGTTTTAATAGCTGAGGCGGGGTTTTCGATTAGATTAGCACATGGCAGGTAGTCGGTAAGAGCAAAGGGGCGAGGGCAGGGTTGTTCCTATAGAATGAAACACCTTTGTGAAATCAACGTCCGCCTGTCAATGGTCGCCGATGGGTACGTTCGATGGGGTTTCTATGTTGCTTCAACAATAATTTTCTATATAATATTTTTTGGCCGATATGAGAGTAACGAAACGTGTGCTTTATCTGTAGCCTGGTTATGGACTGATAAGAATGGAGTATTGATTAAAACAATATAACCAATAAACCAATAAAAATTAGTATTACTTCCAATAAAAACTAAATAGCGACATTTATGGCCAAATCTTTGCAATCGTTATTAAAAAAAAAATTAGCCAAATGCCCATAGCATTCAGTAAGAAATAACCTTAACTTAACTGGACACAAAGATAAGCTGGCATTGGAGTGGGGTTTAACATGTCTTTAGGCTACACCAGGTGCGGATGGGGCTGGGCCTAAAACTTAATGCCACATGACACATTGAGATTTAATATGTCAATAGTCACAAAATTTATATACGTTTCAAGCAGAGAAAGGAAAAAGAGGGAAATGACAAAGAGGGAGAAAAAGAGTGAGAGAGGGAAAAGCTATCTATAGGGCACATACAATATATGCCATAGCATAATTTTCCATAGCCCCAATGTCGTCAGACCAAAAAAAAAGCACAAAAAACTAAATATTTGACAAATGCACTGGAAAAAATCGATTAAGATTAAATTAATAAGTACATAAATTTGTTCATACAAACATTGAACTTCAGTGAAAATTCTATCTTGATTCAATATCTAATAGTTTAACGACATTTCGGTCCAAAGAATTCAATAAATAAAAGAAACGATTTCTAAGAAGTAAATAAATCTTTTGCATAACTTTAGTAAAAAAAATTCGACAAAATAAATATTTCAATTCTAATGACTTGAATATATTTTCCTATCCCATATCCCTCCTCTGCAATGGCTCATAGAGGCTATGAGTAATATTTATTTATTTATTTCAAGTATAAGACTAACAACAAATTTCCGTTTAGTTTTTCGCTAAGTGTATGTGTGTACGCCTAGAGGCGTATATGTTTGCTAGATACTATATATAAACGTTCGTTATTTGGTTGCATGATAAGCCATTAAAAATGGCCACAGCTTAGGTTGCAGTCGGCGTTCGTTGTCGTGTTGCCTGTCGCCTGTCCAACTCGAATTCGAAGTCGATGTCGATGTTCGATCGTTATCAGTGCTATCAATATTTAGTTTTTGTGTGCGCATTGCCTTCAACGCTCCCTGGTTGTGGCCGGGGACATGTGTCAAAATGAAGTCCGCTGCTTGATTAGCCCACTCCGTCATCATAATGATGCTCATAATGATGATCTAACTTTATATAGGCAAAGCGACATTGCGTCTGACAAACGCTAACCATGATTGACATGCCAGGATTAGCACACATACACACACACTCTCTCTCTCTCTCTCTGTCTCTATCTCACTCTAACCCACACACTCCCTTTCTCGCTCTCTTTCTTTCTCTTGTTGGCTGTCATCAGCGCTCCATTTGTTTTGGACTTAGTTGTTTAAATATTGTGAGCCATTATTTGTATTGGCATTGATATTGGTAATAACTAAAAAATTTGTCGTTGTTCCTAAGTAGGTGGAAAGCCCTGCTCATACAAAATATACACATGTACTATATGTGCTCTATAAGCTGTTCAAAATTGAGTTACGATACATATTTAGAGGTGTGTATATCTTTATATATGCATGTATATCTGTATATGTATACAGATATCGATTATTGACTGTGTTTTCTGTTGTTCGCTGAGGCGCCTTGGATTTGGGGGTCTTATAAATTTTAGCTAGACAAAGAAAGACTCAAATATTGATGATTGAATTATTGAAAATTAAACTTTTAGTCTTATGAAGCTAACGGAAGGCAAAGAATAGGGAATTATAACAATTTATATTGCTTATACATAGAAATCAATTTATAAGAAATGGAAAATTTGTAATAACTTCTTTAAAAATGATACTTCTTATCAATTATAAATATAATAAATAGCTACAATTTTAAAGAACTATAACTGAAAGAGATTCCATGATCAAAACATACAAAAAAAAAAAAAAAAAAATTAAAAAGTCATTTTTAATATATATATAAAAAAA